CGTGTAGCTTTGCGCGAAATCCATAACAAACAAACAATCGTGCGCCAGCAATACCAAACGTAGGGCGTGCGTATACCCGATTCATCCTCAAACTGAAATTCTTTTAGGCAGGATTATAGTTAAATTAATCTGGGAGACATTGGGCGTGGTCAAATGCATCAATCGAAAGGGTTGGAGACCTCCTGAGTCCAAAACTCTTAATTAGATCTCAAATCGGTCAAGAGATTACGGAGCTATGAGCTAAAAGTTTGTACTTGAAAACTCAGAACCATTCTATGAGCCGATATGCCACGGCTAAATTTATATATATATACATATGTGTGTATGTCTGTGTATTTCAATTTTGACCATTAAGATTCTATGAAGAATTAGGGAGATTATTCTTTTTTTCAGTCTGTGGTGTCAGCAGCCGCAGAACCAGACACCATAACTTTGCGGAAAACGAAAGAAGGGGGTGTCGTTTTACACGAACAGCTGCTTGGGAAGAAGAAGATAAAATATCAAATATCAGGTAAAATATGATATCACTTAAGGTAAGTATTTCGATCGTGATACCACTTTTGTTATCAAGGCTTTTCTTCCAACCGATTTATAACTTTGAATTTTACCTTTTTTATACATGATCAAAAATACGACCCTTAAATAAAGCATTCCGTTTTTACTGTTCTTGATTCATGTTGATATAGTTGTCGTCATTGCACGAATTTTACTAAAGAGAGAGTGTAGAAATAAACTTTTAAAAATATTACTTCGCATACTCTAATTGAATACTATATTAAGGCCCTTGCCTCATATGTTTATAGAGCATTTTTCATATAGAAAAAAGTCCGATCATATGATATATCAGTAACTTGCTAAGACTCTATCAATACAGAAATGCAGTCACATTATAACTACTTTGTAAGACAATTGGTAAGAGCAAAGATTTCTTATTTCGAAGGGGTATGATAATGGGTACCCCTTTAGCAAGAGTATAGTTAGTAAAGATGTTTTATGGCCGGCTGTTCAAAGATATTTGTCATCAAAGTCTATAAAGAGCAACATCTAAGAAAGATACGCCTGCCACTGGCCCAGCAAAGTTAGGTGATTGGGTAGTTTGACTCGCAATCTAAGGGTCGCGGGTTCGAATCCTGTCCACCAAACATACTCGCCCTTTCAGCCGTGGGGACGTTATAATGTTTCGATCAATCCCACTATTCGTTAGTAAAAGAGTACCCAAGAGTTGACGGTGAGTGGTGATGACTAGCTGCCTTCCCTTTAGTTTTACACTGCTAACTTAGGAACGACTAGCGCAAATAGCCCTCGTGTAGCTTTGCGCGAAATTCAAAACAAATCAAATAAACCAAAACGCCTGCCACTAGAGAAAATTTGTCCATCAGAAGCTGGTGACAAACGGAGGTAAAAGACGATTGGATAGACTTTTAAAACCCAAGAGCCACCAGCCAGTGTCTCAGTTATGAAGAAAAACTTTAATATAAGTTTAACATAACAGCAAATGTACAACATTTCGACAAGGTTTTG